CGTCTAATTGCATATTGCATTGCACATAATTGCACGTCACCCGCATGGCCAGAACACTGGCTACAACATAGATCCCCGTCAAATCGTTGGCAATTTGGCTGCCGTGTTTTTGGAAACGTCAGACAATGCCTTAAGATTAAATGACGGCATTATGGCTCCGGATCGTAGGGATGCTTCAAAAAGTGGGCGTCAAACCTGTATTTGAACTAGATTCTTTAAACGCCTGAGCAGCCAAAACGGAACAGCACATTGAAAAGAAACAAAGAGTCTCACTACAACGATATCGCTGACGAGAAAGATGATGGGTACTCACTTTTGGGCTTCAGTGGAGATTTCACGTCAAATAAGTCCACAGACATTTTCCTCCTTTCTTCGCTGAATCCCGGCGTGCACAACAACGCCAAAAGGCAGCACACCACAAACATGTCACCAGCATACGTCATCTTGGCAGCGACTCAACTGCTACGCACGCTACGGTCGCACGACGCTGAGCAATTCGGAATGCACGGGTTTCAGCATAATATCACAGGGGCCTGCTCCGGGCGCCTCTGGTCGCAGGGTCACTCTCCGTCGGCACTCGGCCGAAGCAGCCCGTCGCGGGCACTCCGGCCCGGTCACTCGGCGCCGGTCCGCTCCCAGTCGGTCATTCCATGGTCGGTTGTCGGCGGCCCAGGCTGCAACAAACGGGCGGCGTGAGCAAAAACGCCAACACATCGATGGCACGCTCAGCGATGCCAGCCGGCCGTGCGTTTGGGGGCGCGTTACACGCTGGCCGGCTCGGCAAAAAGCGTGGCGGCTGTGGCGCCGCTGCGGCGCTCGTGGCCGTTCCTAGCGGACCGCCCGCCGCCCGGCGCTCGGCCGGCGTCGAGGGCGGAGATCGGGCCGTCAGAGAGGCCCCGTACACGGAGCTGCCCGGCGCTCGGCCGGCGTCGAGGGTGGAGATCGGGCCGTCAGAGAGGCCCCGTACACGGATGAGGACTCTGATCAGGTCGACAGGGGCCTGCACACAGCCCCTGCCGGTGCAAGGTCGGGCCAGTGAGCCTGGCCAGGACAGGACAGGGCAGGACAGGGGCCGGGACAACGGCTGGGAGCTCTGATCAGGTCAGTGGAGGGCACTGTCTGACATCCCCACAGTCGGGTTACCTGAGCGTGCCATACTCCGTCTGAGGCCCCTGCTCAGGCCAACAGCACTGTCCTAACAGCGTTGTGTCCTAAGGTTGAAAATATAGAATACGTTGTACGGCGAGGATAAATAATTTTCCTGAGCACACGGCGACCAGCTGTCGGCGGTATCCGGAGTTTCACGTTTGCCTGAAGACAGATGCCCGTCCTGCGCCCGCGCGCTGATAATGTCTGCTCATTCCGAGTTGCAGCAAAATTAATGATAATGGATATACCCATCAGTAGCTACATTCCAGATCTTTCATAGCAAAAACGTTCCAATCACCCTTCCAAAACTTTTCTGTGCGATGCTCAGAATACATGGATCTTAAAGAACGTGTCGGCCTTCAGTTCGTATTCATCAGACGTCACGTTAGTGGTTCTGTCCGATCATGTGATTGCACCAAAGCATCCCGCGGTTTTAGGACCATGCGACAGAGTTCGTGCCAGCTGCTGTGCCAACAGACGCGGGCCCAGCTGTTCTCTCAAGAGTCTCATAAATAATGTATGCTTCGGATCAACTGATGCGAATTTACATACTCCCGACACGATCGACTACAAAATGACGGATGGCGTGACACGACAGGCCTTAGTGGAGACATCATTCAAACATGCCGGCTTACACGCCGACATCCGACGATCGACTCTCAACGGCAAATTAGAAAAAAAGACCGACTACAGAGTGGCACATGCTTGCGTGGAGAGATGCAAGCAATTGGCGGCACCCAGGCTCGCCCTCCGACGAGAATCCCACGCATTCCCCAGCAATGACATGAAAACCGCACATTGCTACCAATGCAGCGAAGGCGCGGCTAAGCATCCATCCCTTAGAATTAGCCGCGGCCCGTTTGGCCATTCCTCGCGAGTAAAATGACGTCACCGTGCCGCAGCGAGCGTCACGGGCGTGCCCGGCCGCGCGGCTCGCCGCACTCCGCACCCATTCCTGGCGGTCGTGCTGATAGCGGCAGGTAAGCCGAGGAAAGTCCGCGCACCACGGGAAAAACGGGCCAGACTTGTACCGCAGCGCGCGGATTTTGCACACTGGGGGCTGGCGATGCAGTAACGGCCAGGCGTCACGACTAACGCTTGCCTTGGATTTCACCCCGTCACGTGCAGCTTCAGTGGGTCGAACACCTCCGGGCGTTGTGTCTGGCGTTTGACACTTGTCTCCAACATGTTATCAGGATTAGTGGCAATTCATCTTGCAAGAATTCTCCAACATAATCCGGTTTATCCGGTCTACGAATCCGAGTTCGGAGTGTGTAGCACCTCGGGCATGTAAACCAGCTCTGACGGAACCCAGTGGAGACTTATAGCAACCCCAGCGGAGCGAGCACGGGGCGGTGAGGCTTGCCTCGAGACCGTCTCCGCTGTGTATCCGGCCCGTCTCCAGGCCTGAGATGAGTCTCCGGTCGATACCAGGCCGGCCTTTGTAAGCAATGTGCCCTCCGTCCGGTTCCTGGCAGGCCGGCTGACTGGAGACGCACCCCTCCGTCCGGTTCCTCGCAGGTCGCCAGACTGGACACGCGTCCTTCGTCCGTTTCCTGGCGGGCCGGCAGACTGGAGACGCGCCCCTCTGTCCGGTTCCTGCCAAGCCGGCAGGCTAGAGACGCGCCCCTCCGTCCGGTTCCTCGCAGGTCGCCAGACTGGAGACGCGCCTCAGCTGGCGCTCGGTGGGCCACCGCGACTGGAGCCACATCTCCGACAGTACCCCGAGCTGTCATCGGACCGGAGCAACATCCCCACCACGACTGGAGCCACATCTCCGACAGTACCCCGAGCTGTCATCGGACCGGAGCAACATCCCCCCGCGACTGGAGCCACATCTCTGACAGTACCTCGAGCTGTCATCGGACCGGAGCAACATCCCACGCGACTGGAGCCACATCTCCGACAGTACGCCGAGCTGTCATCGGACCGGAGCAACATCCCACCGCGACTGGAGCCACATCTCAGACAGTACCTCGAGCTGTCATCGGACCGGAGCAACATCCCACCGCGACTGGAGCCACATCTCTGACAGTACCTCGAGCTGTCATCGGACCGGAGCAACATCCCACCGCGACTGGAGCCACATCTCCGACAGTACGCCGAGCTGTCATCGGACCGGAGCAACATCCCACCGCGACTGGAGCCACATCTCAGACAGTACCTCGAGCTGTCATCGGACCGGAGCAATATCCCCACCGCGACTGGAGCCACATCTCCGACAGTACGCCGAGCTGTCATCGGACCGGAGCAACATCCCCACCGCGACTGGAGCCACATCTCAGACAGTACCTCGAGCTGTCATCGGACCGGAGCAATATCCCCACCGCGACTGGAGCCACATCTCCGACAGTACGCCGAGCTGTCATCGGACCGGAGCAACATCCCCACCGCGACTGGAGCCGCATCTCCGACAATACCCCGCGCTGTCATTGGACCGGAGCAACATCCCCACCGCGACTGGAGCCACATCTCCGACAGTACCACCCGCGCTGTCATTGGACCGGAGCAACATCCCCACCGGCACCGGCTGTCCGCTCGTCACGATACGCACCTCTCGGCGGTGCCGACCTCAATCCGACGCGCGGTCAGACCCGCCCCACTGGCACATACCGCAGGTCTCATTAACAAAGGCGAAAGAGCGCCGAGCGAGGTACGCGGGCAGAGCCAGGCTGGGCTGGGCTGGAGTGTGGCGCCGTTAGGAAGGGTAGGGTAGAGCAGGGCAGGGCAGGGCAGGGCAGGGCAGGGCAGGGCAGGGCAGGGCAAGACAGGACAGGACAGAACGGGACGGGGCAGAGCAGGGCAGGGCAGGGCAGGGCAGGGCAGGGCAGGGCAGGGAAGGGCAGTGCAGGGCAGGGCAGGGCAGGGCAGGGCAGGGCTGGACAGGACAGGACAGGACGGGGCAGGGCAGGACATGTCACAACAGTACGGGTGACATCGGCCGGCGCCCAGCGTCGACGCTGTGACTGAGGTGAAGTGTGGTTTGATGTGTGACGCTGGTGGAGCGCAGTGCAGCACTCAAGCATCCTCGCCCCTAGAGTGTGACGTCAAGGTCATCATCGACGGCCTGTTCGAGTGCGCTACACAATGAGGGACGGGGTGGGCGGGGCATGAGCCCAGTCTACGTCGACGCGCCTAGTCCGCGGTTTGTGGCCAGCACCAGTTACCACTTTTCCACTCGCCTCGGCTCATCGTAGTGGGTGAAAAGTGTCGGCCATGCACGCAGTCGTCAGCTCCATCGCTTGGTTCTTGTCATGTCCGCAACGAAGTATGAGGACAATGGCAACGCTGCACGGCCGCCGCTTTTTTCAGACGCGCGGTGGGAACCGCGCTAACAAGCGGAGGGATGCCTTCTCGGAACGCCACGCGCAATGCATTTTTCGCTGACCGAGCGCCAGTGCGCCTTCAAGGCCGGTCTGTCGGGCCGTCGGGCCTCGGCGTCCCGGGAGGCCCGAGTGAGGCCAGGTCGCGCCCGTTCCGTTTCCGGCCGGCGGCCTGGGCCCGCTGTCCCACTAACCCACGCGGGAAGGGTCAACAACGACACGGTCGACGGGTCGGAGGATGTCTGAGCACCGGCTACAGGAAGCGGCGGCGCTGCAGCCACACAGTCGGCTGCAGAGGCGCGCCGCCTCCATGCCGGTCGGCTTCGATCAGCATAGTGATGTGGATTATACGTCAGGGTGGTCCGATCAGAAAGGATGACAGGTATTTGGCATGTTCTTGCACACTTGTTACCAGCATAAACAGCACTACCGTGAGGCAAGTGTTTGATTTTGGCAAGCAATGGATAACATGACAGCAAATAGCCGCCCAGCAGCGCTCTACCGACTCGCGATACCCCGGCCGCTGGTGGCACACCTGCAGCCTGCCGGCCAGCCGTAGTAAAGGAGGCGTTGCTCTGCGCCGCGTGCAGCTGCCGTAAAAAGGTGGGCGGCAGCGGCGCCGGCATGGGAGGCCCACGTTCCGTCGCACGCAGCAGCCGGCGCAGGGCGGAGGGCCGGGGCCGACCCCGGCCGGGGCGGCATACACTGCGCCGCAGCAGGCCCGCCCTCCGGCAAAAAGCGGCCATTCCGCCAGCCGCCACCCACGGCCAGCGACAGGACAACATCCGCGCTCACCGTCAGTGTCACGCACCCGCCGCCAGCGCGGACTGCACCGCTCCCCCAGTGAGGACTGCACCGCTCCTCCAGCGCCCACTGCACCGCTCCTCCGGTATGGACTGCGCTGCTCCCCCAATGAGGACTGCACCGCTCCTCCGGTGCGGACTGCAGCGCTCCTTCAGCGCGGACTGCATCGCTCCCCCTGTGAGGACTGCACCGCTCCCCAGTGAGGACTGCACCGCTCCTCCAATGCGGACTGCAGCGCTCCTTCAGCGCGGACTGCACCGCCCCCCCCCCCCCCCCAGTGAGGACTGCACCGCTCCTCCAGCGCCCACTGCACCGCTCCTCCGGTATGGACTGCACTGCTCCCGCAATGAGGAGTGCACCGCTCCCCCAGTGAGGACTGCAGCGCTCCTCTGGTGCGA